TTTATTACGTTATGCGCTGCGTGTGTCGTAATAAACGGTCTCGGTGCATTTGCCGCAGCTCGTCGAGAGGACGAATAATAACGGGAGGAAGAAAATCCTAGGAGGAAGTTCAGAGAGGACGAGGGCTCGGCCGAAAGTTCTGGAACGCATAGGAAACGTCTTTCCGCGATTCCAAGGGTATCCGATGGGGGCCCCGCGACTCTTTTCGAAGGGAAGTCGGCTTAGACTCGTTTTCCCCCCGCAAAGCAGGTCGCGACATCCGGCGGGGATCCGCAAAAAAAATATATTCCGCCGTCTGATATGCCGTAAAGAAGGAGCCCGGGATGGGTCTCTGTTAAGACGTCGGAAACAGCGCAAAAAGAATCTTTCGAGGCGGCGAAGGGGCGAAATTACGTCGAAAAGTCTGGAGAATTTATCGGGGCACTTTTTAAACTCCGCCTTCGCGCGATTAGCATATTATTTCTATGGAAGCCCCGGGTGGAAAGACCGGGCACGGCTCCTGCGCCGGTGTAACGCGGCCAGGAGCATATCAAATATGTTGATAAATGATCCCTTTGAGCGATGAATAGACGGGCCGTCGAGCGCCGCGCTATCCGTATCCTTTTTCTCGTTCCGCGCGGCGAACATTTGAATGTCAGAAGAAAACGCCTTTGCTGGCTGTGGTCTGCGCTCTGCGGTTGCCCCCGTCCCTCCCTCTCGCCCCTCCATTTCATCCCCGAACCGGAGAACAAAATCACAAGCGTCTGCGTCTTCTCTGCCCGCGAGTATTCCGACCGAACCGAAAATATCTTGATTCGTTAGAGTCCCGATCGAATATTGAATTCGCCGGCTTCTCCTCTGGGTATTACGCTCGCGGAATTCCGCGGCGCAGCCGTGGCCGCGAGCACGACCTTTGAAACCCCCTGCGTATCGCTCCTCGGAAATTGCTTCCGCGGTAGCTCCGTTCGTATTTAACCATCCAGACGATTCTATTCGGGTCCACCTTGACCCAACAGTACAGAAACTCCATCTATTTTGTTTAATGATTAATGATTAACGTTCTACGTTCAACGTTCAACGCTCAACGTTCAACGCTCAACGTTCAACGTTCAACGTTTAATGTTTAATATACGGATTATATGCATTTAACCTTTTAGGTACGGCTGAATTCTGCGCGAAGCTATTTCTCTGGACGGCAGAGTCTGATACTGTATATTCTGTCTGTATATACAGGGTGTCCCAAAAATGTCTCGCGATCCGAAAGTGGCAGGTTCCTCAGGCCATTTGAAGCAACTTTTTCCTTTACAAAAATGTTCTCCGAGACACCGTTAACGAGTTATCAACGAAAAACAGTGACCAATGAGAGGCGAGCTCGGCTGGCGCGAGGCGATCGAGCCAATGAGCGGAACTGGGCTTCGTGCGCTGGTTGACTGGGCCGCCTCGCGCCAGCCATACTCGATTCTTATTGGTCACTGTTTTTCGTTAATAACTCGCTAACGGTGCCTCCGAGAAAATATTTGTAAAGGAAGAAGTTGCTTCAAATGATCCGAGGAACCCGCCATTTCCGGATTGCGAGACATTTTTGGGACACCCTGTGGACTGTTGTAAATCGATGCGAAGACAAAAAAAGTGTGAAACAATGCGTATGAAGACGATTATTTGGTTCGAACGATGAGCGAGTGAGCTACTAGAGCAAGCCACTATAGTGGCGCGTCGGGCCTAAAAGGTGAAGTATAATTGCATCGTGTTAGATCTGAGATAGCCGGGGTGGATAGTTCACATAATTTGATCGTCGAGAAAAAAAAGGGCGACGAATTAACAAAAATTGATGGTAACGTTTCATCTTCAAATGTGGTTAACGATACACCGAAAAAGCTCGATATTTTCGGATGAAGTCTGTTTGCATACTACGTTTGCATATCCTATCCACCGGATCAGATATTTTAACGACTGTTTCAATCAACAAACGTCGGTCGGAAACGTTCGGGCGAAAATCGTGAAAGCTGCCCACCTTCCACGGGTCGAATAACTATACCCGAACATAGAGAAAACGGTTCTCTGCATGTTTCAGGGGAACATTTTGGCAATGATTCTTGGAAGAGATCTAGGGTATGAAATCGGGACGTAGCTTTGATCTAGAACTGCTCGTCGGGTGGATAGAGATGGGACCAGTTTGAATGCCGGTCGCCGATGCTAAACAGTCGGATTTCCGTTCCGCCAATCAGTTCTGACCGACCGCCCTTTGCCAATCTCCATACGATTCTCGCTGGAAAACAGAAAAGGGGAAACAGAAGGACAATATTCCGTTGTTCGTTCGATGGCTGAGAAGCCGCCGATGGACCTCGCGTTTTCGGTTNGGCAGAGTCTGATACTGTATATTCTGTCTGTATATACAGGGTGTCCCAAAAATGTCTCGCGATCCGAAAGTGGCAGGTTCCTCAGGCCATTTGAAGCAACTTTTTCCTTTACAAAAATGTTCTCCGAGACACCGTTAACGAGTTATCAACGAAAAACAGTGACCAATGAGAGGCGAGCTCGGCTGGCGCGAGGCGATCGAGCCAATGAGCGGAACTGGGCTTCGTGCGCTGGTTGACTGGGCCGCCTCGCGCCAGCCATACTCGATTCTTATTGGTCACTGTTTTTCGTTAATAACTCGCTAACGGTGCCTCCGAGAAAATATTTGTAAAGGAAGAAGTTGCTTCAAATGATCCGAGGAACCCGCCATTTCCGGATTGCGAGACATTTTTGGGACACCCTGTGGACTGTTGTAAATCGATGCGAAGACAAAAAAAGTGTGAAACAATGCGTATGAAGACGATTATTTGGTTCGAACGATGAGCGAGTGAGCTACTAGAGCAAGCCACTATAGTGGCGCGTCGGGCCTAAAAGGTGAAGTATAATTGCATCGTGTTAGATCTGAGATAGCCGGGGTGGATAGTTCACATAATTTGATCGTCGAGAAAAAAAAGGGCGACGAATTAACAAAAATTGATGGTAACGTTTCATCTTCAAATGTGGTTAACGATACACCGAAAAAGCTCGATATTTTCGGATGAAGTCTGTTTGCATACTACGTTTGCATATCCTATCCACCGGATCAGATATTTTAACGACTGTTTCAATCAACAAACGTCGGTCGGAAACGTTCGGGCGAAAATCGTGAAAGCTGCCCACCTTCCACGGGTCGAATAACTATACCCGAACATAGAGAAAACGGTTCTCTGCATGTTTCAGGGGAACATTTTGGCAATGATTCTTGGAAGAGATCTAGGGTATGAAATCGGGACGTAGCTTTGATCTAGAACTGCTCGTCGGGTGGATAGAGATGGGACCAGTTTGAATGCCGGTCGCCGATGCTAAACAGTCGGATTTCCGTTCCGCCAATCAGTTCTGACCGACCGCCCTTTGCCAATCTCCATACGATTCTCGCTGGAAAACAGAAAAGGGGAAACAGAAGGACAATATTCCGTTGTTCGTTCGATGGCTGAGAAGCCGCCGATGGACCTCGCGTTTTCGGTTCGCGTGCTCGTTAATTAAAGAGCAACGACGAAACGATAAAAGTTTCGAAACAAACCGACCGCGTGAAATCGGAAAAATACGGTGCTGGCGGAAAATCGCGATATTTCACTGCGCTCGCTACACCGAGATACAGCGATACCGCGAAACGGTGGTTGCGCAGGGTATCGAAATATTTCGGCTGGATGTTGAACAAATTTTATCGTTCGATTGTGTTTTACGGGCCGCGCGAACAATAACGTTCTGACAATTAGCATCATAAAAGAAGGAACACACGTCGGAGAGCATAACGAGAACAGAATAAATTTTCGTGCTCGGCCAAATTAATTGTTAAGCACCGCGGGGGTGGATTATTATTATTATTATTATTATACCGCTGACGACAGAGAGCTCTATGCAACATTCGCAGCCGTGTAATAGATCTCTGCGTTGTTAGCAAGGGATACAGGATCGTCGATTTTATCCCGCGAGGTCGAAAACACGGAGAATAGCTGCGGGGATAACTTATCGACGACCGTTCCGAACGATGCATCACCAGGAATTGTGCAATCGTGCGCGATCGTATGCCACCGTGGCATTATCATAATTATCGCCGCATAATTCCATCGTTTCGCGAGCCCGGTGGGCCGTCACCGAGAAAGATTTAACAGCCGAGCTTACAATTCTATTGCAATCCCTGTGTCTGTTGGCGCGCATTTCGCGATTTTCGAGCAAAAATTACGTACGAAATTAAAGCACGCGAGAAAATAATGCGGATTAATCGGATGTTGATCTCGACAATGCATTCAAATTTCCTGGCAATTTCAAATCGTGTTGGCCACCTACGCACAAGTACGAGAATCTGTTCGACGCGTTAACTTCCATCGATCAAATACGAAGCGTTTTCTGTTACCGCCGACAGATGGCTCTGCGCAACGTTGAATTTCGCGGCAGTCGAATGTAAATTGATCATTTGATTTAATCGTTCGGAAAATGATAATTGAATATTAATCAGCGATACGGTGAGCCAACTAAATCGAATCGAATCGTTAAGAACGCGATCGAGAAATCGCGCATGTTCGTCTGCATGCACTGTTCGCATGATCGTTCTAAATATGGAGGTCCAAGGGTCTGAAACAAACGGGCCTCTTGCTGCGGCCTTCGATGAATTAATTTTCTTAGCGTAAGAAAATCAATGTGTAAAATTAGTTTTAATGATCCTCGGATCGTACTTGGTAGCGTTCCACGATTTCTTCGAAGCAGAACCATGAAGATCGAACTGTGCAAAATAAATCGGCGACTTTCGCGTCTTGTTCTCGATGTCTGTCGGCTGGCGTTATCGGGAACCCGAAAAAAAGAAGATCAGAGCTACTCGCTGCGACGTTCTGCTCGGCGCGAGCACCTCTTCCTCTCTCTCTCTCTCTCTCTCTCTCTCTCTCTCTCTCTCTCTCTCTCTCTCTCTCTCTCTCTTGTCGGAACGATAACTAAAGTTAGAAATAAATTGAACATGTGTTAGTGCGGCTGGTCTATTTCTGTATCCGCACCCTAGAACAAAGTCATGACGGTACATACTGATCGCGGCTGAAGTCGAGCTAACGTCTTTCTTTCTCGATGCTTTTTTTGCACGAGCAGCAGCTAAGCCGAATTCCGACATTCGTGACGTTCACGAGGAACGGATAACTTGGCGGCCGGCGATCGACAATCAACGATTTCCCATTCATAATCGCGAACCCGACGATAACACCGGTGTTTCTCCAACTGTGCACTGTGAATCGCGATGACCAACCGGCTCTAACGATCGAACATCGAACAGTATCGAACAGGTGCGTAAATGAATCTCAATTAATACTTGGCACGTGTTATTACACCAACAAATGCTTTCTGCTGCCCCCGTTTGCTACAACGTATAGTGAACGATCGTGTGTAAGCGCCAAAGGCCAAATGAATAAAATGTTTAACTTACAAAAGTGACAGTGCTACTAGTAATGTAACGAAACTTGTCGACGATTCATCATCCCTTTTCTTCGAGTTGTTCAAAAGTATCGATATTCGATACAGCTTGCGATTATTTTTATAATGTACTCTGTCCACCGAAATGTTTCGCTCCCTATTGCGTGTAGACAGGAGAACGTCGTGGATTACCCCACTTCGCCTTACATTTACTGTAAAACTAGCTTAAAGTACAGTACGTACGTACTTTAGAAGTTGTCATTGTACAGTGCTTTCCAATATTTACGAAAACTCGGATTCAATGATGTTTGAATTGAAAAAGTACAAGATCGAGTTTCGAGAACGACTCTGCATGATGGCAGGCAGTCGATAAAATTCATTGTGGTGTTCGCTGTGGAGATCGATGGGCCTATCAAATTCTTAATGTTGTGAGGTTATCCGCTGTTTATATTTCTCTTCGCAGAATCATTTACCGAGACTTACCATGAGTATACACCGAACGCGTGTAGAGATTCTATTATTTCTGATTGCGATCCTCGGATTCTTGTCATGCGGAAATGCAGCATCTGCACATATCCACACTCATCAGCATAACAAATCCAACAGTAACGAAAGAACAGAAGATGGTGCGTTTAGTCCGCGAGATATGGATCACTATGCAGGAGGAGAACACCATCAGGAATTCGATCACGAAGCTATACTCGGTAATTGTTTTTAATACTGTCTGCAAAAGTGTACGGTTTAAACATAGTGTTTCGGCTACCTATGTACCATGAATAACATTGTTTTGCATGTTCACAGGAAGTGTGAAAGAGGCAGAGGAATTCGACAAGCTTCCCATAGAGGAATCTAAAAGACGCTTAGGAATTTTGTTGACCAAGATGGATTTGAATAACAACAAATTTATCGAGAGGAATGAACTGAAAGCATGGATTTTAAGATCGTTTAGGTACATATATTTGAATGGTTGTAGAGTTTAGTCGAAAGAAATGTTAATCGGTATTTATCTTATCTTTAGCATGCTTTCTGACGAGGACTCTCAAGACCGACTGGAGGATACAGATTCAGATAAAGACGGCAAAGTCAGTTGGGCTGAAATTTTACAGGATATGTATGGTTCGGATTCGGAAGATCTAGAAGCAGATGTTAAACTTATTACCGATGACAAGCAAACATTCGAGGCAGCTGATATGAACAAAGATGGGTATCTCGATCCGGATGAGTTCAAAGCTTATACTCATCCTGAAGAAACACCTAGAATGTTTCCACTTCTTTTGAGGCAAGCTTTGGATGACAAAGACATGGATAAGGATGGATACATCAGTTTCCAGGAGTTTATTGGTAACAGAGCTAAAGCGGAGAACAAAGAATGGTTGTTGGTAGAAAAGGATAAATTTGATTACGAGCATGACAAAGATAAGGATGGGAGACTCGATTCGGATGAAATACTTTCTTGGCTAGTACCTAGTAACGAGTATGTAGAATACTTCCATTATTTTTTATCAATTGATCATTTTGACAATGCCTTCACTAATTTGGTAGTAAATATTACAGTGAAATCGCAAGTGGTGAAGTAGATCATCTATTTGCTGCATCCGACGACGATCACGATAACAGATTGTCCTTTGAGGAAGTCTTGGACCATCACGATGCTTTCGTCGGAAGTGAAGCCACAGATTATGGAGACCACTTACAAGATATCGAGCGATTCCAAGATGAACTATGAGAATCGGTGGCTAAGCACGTTAGCGAAATCTTCATCTTTTGCGTAATATCTGTCAGAATTTTACGTCTATGAAAGTATTTTTAATAGTTCTGAATGCCGCCCTTTGAGCTATAATATGTTTCGGTGTTCCTATTTATGCTGCATTTAGCGTACATTAAGATCGAACAAAATCGCACAAAACTTATTTAAAATACTCAAAGCATAGTTTCGCCAGTCTTCCAATTTTTATGAACCTTTGGTGCCATAATTACGGTGATACGTTGCTTTAGCACAAATAGAATTTACATTTCTTCTAAGTAGTAAGAGTTACCAGAAACATATTGTCTAATTTTCATTATTTTTCGGTAAATAATTATGTACATGCACTAATTTTAAATTATTCTGTGCTTGCGACGATTATTAGGGAAAAGGTTATGGACCTTAAGAAACCTTGTAATTTATCTAAACAGCGAATTAAATAATTCAATTCCTCCGATTATTATAGAGCATCATAACATACATAATAAAAAAAATTGAATTCTTTAGTATTCATTCAGACATTCAGACATCTTTGGAATAAATTTGTCTACTTTTCGTATTCTATGACGAACAATATGTATTGTGATGAATTTTTGTAATAAAATATGCTTTACATCTTAGATATTCTCGTGCCATTGAAAAAGCAGAAAGTGTTCGAAGAATATTACAGGATAAACGAGCCACAAATGACTTTGAAAAACACTTCAAGGTTATTTTTAAACCTCTTACCTTGTAATATTTTTTAAACGTTACATTTTTGTTGATAACGTATTAAATAAATGAACTACATATATGCAGTGTCCATAAATTTATTAACATATAATAAATTATTAAATTAGTATCACAGACTTAAGGTCCCTAAGGATTTTACCACAAGAGGCGCCACTATTAACACAGACTCAGGATCCGTACAGGCATTGCATCTTATGGGCTTTTCTGTCTCAATTTTAGAGGGCTCTAGATTCCCTCCTTATCATTTCGTATTACACCCAGCGTTGCCGATAGTTCACAAAAAATAAGCACGTTAGCAAGAGCGAATATCCTGTATATTTTATTTTTATTACGAGTGCTGAATATTATTTGGAGGCAACAAGTACGGTACTAACATTGAAATGATGGAAATAGTATTTATAAAACATGTACTACAAAAATAAGATATAAAGTTTAATTATTTTTATGGATTTCAGCAATTATTTCTACTAATTACATAATTAGCAGTGGTACACATATAGAAATAGATTTATACATTTTATCTTACAGATGGATATTTACAACGTTAATTTTATAAGCTTTACAATGTAAAAAGAGCATTGCATGCAATGTTTGTATGCAGTCTAAGTCTGCGATATTAAGTTGTTGCAAAAGTAATTTAGATCTTTTTAGTTAGCTATCTATTTGGAAAACCGAAATTATACATTTGCAGCAACCCAATAGATACTATCTGGTAAAATTCGAAACTCTTTCCAGCTCAAGGCGAAATTTGTAGCTGAAAATTCAGAAAAGATTACACACCGATATCACACACATCTATAATTATAATAAAATATTATTTTATAAATATCAAAACCTCATTTGTGAAAATAGAGGTATACAATTTTACATTGTTATTCGCATTTAAACTTCACAGCAGAGATGAGGAAATATAGATTTTTGTAATTTTAAATAGACAAATAGACTATACATATTTTTATCTCCTCATGTAATATAGAATTTAGCAAGTAAACTTTTTTTTAAAATATTAGCTACATATGGATATTATGTAGTGAAATATATTTGAAATGCTATTTCCACAATTACCATTTCAAAAAAAGTTTATTTGCCAAATTCTGTATTACCCGAGAAGATAAAATTGTTCATAGTCTATTTGCTATTTAAAAAATCTATTTTTCCTCCAGCCCTTCTTCACAACCATTAGCTCGATATAATTATCGATTTCGAATCTGTTATAGAATGATCGAGGTTTATTTCTGAGATTTATAACTGATTGGAAATCGAAAATTGCATCGATTGCTCGAATCTCACCATGTGGAGGTTGTTGTGACTGGAGACCCGAAAGGGAGCCAGAACGAAGACAAAATTCGTTATGGCTCCCTTTCTCGCAACAAATTTTACCTAGTAACTAATACCTTAGCAAGCAATGTCTTAAAAAATAACATCTTAATAAATAACGCCTTAATAACTAACCACATGTCAACGAATTATTGCGGACCAAAAGTAGATCCATCGGCGGATGAGATGTTTTTGTACTTGATGAAAACCTAAAAACCACCCAAATCCCAAGCGATTATACAGGGTGTCCCACAATTATTTTAACAGCCGAAAATG